AAGGCTATCTACTGACCATTTGGACAAGGGCCCCGAGGGAATCCAAGCAACTGGAGCAAGGGAATTTCACCCAAAACTCTTGACAAAGCAGTTTCCTGGAAGGTGAGGTGAATGCAATCCTACAACCTCGGCAGTCACGCACAGTCCAGCCCACACAATTTGCAGACATCACATTGTGGACAGTGTCTTGATTCCCCCCAAGAAAGTGCGTTGCTTCTTCACCTCACCTAGACGGCTAGTTCAGTGCACTGTGCTTCGCCTTATCCACCCCCACCTCCAACACCTTAGTTGTTACATCCTTTGGCCTTGTTGGGAACCCTTGCGACAGCCCTGCTTTTAAATGTGGTAAATTTTCAGTGAGCTGGTCATTCATTCCCCATACCAGGCTGTAGATGATCGCGACGTGGCTGTAGACAGTGAGGGGAATCTTTCAGAACTGCCCTCACGAAGAGGCACGAGGCCTTTTCCTCCCTACAGCCAGCTGTCTGCAAAACCACACCTAACACAGATATTTTACCATGACAGCGTCTCCTACAAGCACTTGATTCGAGCAAATGTAAGTTAATTACGTCTCTACTTGTCCATTTATTTGTTGGATCACTCATTGCTATTTGAACCAGTTTGTTTATCGTCTTGTCTGTTTATTTACCCCTCTAGGCATTTCATCGAGCTGTGAATAGGCCCTTTCCAAATAGCTCGCCTTGCGTGTGTGCCTTGTGAATAGACAAACACTGAATTGGTAAATCGTCCATGTTCATGTTCTAGCATGAAGCCAGAAGCGACTCGTGAGCGTAATTGTGGCGGTCCGATTGTAGAAACGGCTGACGGCTGCAAGGAAACGATCACAACTGCAAAATTTGCTCACATATGCGTCTGTCTACTCCTTACATTCGATCACATCAAACCCACCTGAGACAGAATGCGCAAAATCGTGGTTGATGCTCCCACTCGAATGAGTTGCTTCATCCTACGACTTGGTTAGGCACTGAACTGCACACAACTGGCTGAACATTTAGATATTAGCAGTAGACAAGGGCCAAGATTGCAACGTTGTTGGTAAAGAGAAGACAAGTGCCATCACTTTGTCTGAAGGCGCCTCAAAACTGCTTTTGCGAAGCAGTTCATCGACGTAAATAAAGGCCAGACCAGCCGAAGTACAAAGTGGAGGCGGAATGGATTTACTTGTCAGCTTAACGAATAAGTAAACGCAGTGGATGATGCTGCTCATTGTTTTGCTCATAACTCCCAGTTTTAATCCGTACTGATGAAATTGTGGAGTTTGGGAATGGAAGCGTCAACGTCGAATTTGCGTATTCCGTATCAGATTGGGTTCGGTGGAATTGAATGCTGAGAGCAGATAGAGACATAAATAAGTGACTTTAGCGGTAGCGTTTGCGTACCTGCATTCATCCACAATCCAAGAAGATGCTCAGCACATGAATGTGAATAGTGAGAGGACGGCAGTAAGGAAATTGCCTTCCTCAACAGACCGTGGTGAGATAATTACAATGGGTATGTTAGATGTTAAACCCTTTTTTACTTACCAATTATTTAAAGCGCGGAACCAAGCTTATCCCTTTCTGTTTACAGTAAAATGCAGTATTCGCAACACAGCGTTTGAGTCGTCTGATCACCGGCTCAATCTACTCTTGGATGTCACGAAATTGGACAGTCTGCAAGTATGATTTTCGTGCAAGCATAAGCTCAAATAAA